CCCTCCCTCCATCACCCTCCTTCATCACTCCCTCCCTCCATCCATCTGTCCCTCCATCACTCCCTCTGTTCCTCTCTCTCTTTTTCTCCATCTTTCTCTTTTCTTTCTTTTTCCCTTTGTTCTGGAGATAGAACCTAGGATAGGTGCTTTACCATTCCCTGAGCTGTACCCCTAAACCCTGGAAAATTCTCCTAGACACATGTTTACAGTTTAAGTTCATGATGGGAGACTAGTTGAAACCAGGACCCTGTGATTTCAGTGTCTGTAGACTGGTTAGTATTGCTCCTTCAAATGAAGATCAAGAGTTCAGTAAAACTTCATTAGTGAAAATGGAAGACGAAAGCACTTTACCCTAACTTTCAGATGGTTAGTACTTCTCTTCTCCTATTTGTAGTGAGAGCTGTCTACTTGTTCTCAATTATTTTGAACCCACTGTTTTCCCCTTATGTTCCTGCTGTAGAAATATGCATCATTTTCACCCATATTCTTATGTTTAGGCACTTACAGTTCTAGATGTAGCACCCTTAAAAAACTAATTAAAAAGAAGTTTTAAAATTTTATATTATAGCCGAGCAGTGGTGGTGTGTGCCTTTAATCTGAGCACTTGGGAAGCAGAGGCTGGTGAATCTCAGTGAGTTCAAAGCCAGCCTGGTCTATAAAGTGAGTTTCAGGACAGCCTAGACTGTTACACAGAGAAACCCTCTGTCGAAAAACAAAAAAAACAAAAAAAAAAAAAGAAAGAAAATTTTATATCATGTATATGATGAGTGTTTTGCCTGTGTATAGGTATGTGTACCTTCTGTGTGTCTGGTACTCACAGGGTTCAGAAGAGGGCATCAGATTTCGTGTGACTGGGGTTAAGGGTGGTGGTTGTGAGCCACAATGTGTGTGTGTGTTGGGAATCCAACCTGAGTTCCTTTGAAAGAGCAACAAAAAATCTTTTAACCCCTGAGCCATCTCTCCAACCCCTAAAAAATAGTTTTAAGAATAAATGTCATGAATGCTAATTTCACAAAATTTAAGTAACACCATATTGAAACAGATGGTATTAAATAAAATGAAGTTAAATATGGTTTTGTTGGAAGTTTTATAGTTTACTTGAGGATATATTGAAGAATGAGAAAAGATGTTTAAACAAATTGCTTACTAATTATGTATTCAGTTGCAGCCTACCTAATTGACTGTGTAGCTAGAATTACTCTAGAGTTTTATGTCTACCAAGCCTCACAATATTCATGGTAGTGTTCATGAAGCCTTCTCTGAATGAGTGTAAGCATGAATGTTTCTGCTTATGTCCTGTACTTGTCAAGGAAAGGATGCAGAATTTTGTCACATAAGCCCAGTACCATCAGGTTAGAAAGGCTGGAAGGATCTCATCACTGTCTTTTATTATAGGATTGGAGAGACAGCCCATCTTCCCAATTATCCATTCTCTCTGAGGGATTAAAAAAGAATGCTCAGGGGTTGGCATGTCCACTATCATCCCTTATCCTATGCAGACTGAGTAAGAGGGTCTTATTGCTGGAACTGTAGGCAATAGCTTCAGATCTCATTCAAAAGGAAATTTTTCTGTAATTGGGAAGTAGATTTTCTTAAATTGCCTCTTCATGCATTATGAATAGTGCTGTGATATTTTATAACCAATTAAAATTGATTAGATCTTTGAGTTATTTCTTTAGAATACTTTAATCATGAAAATCAGTTTGGAATGAGTCCAGCCTTGAGACAGATGGTTAAATTTATGTTTAAATAAATCTATACTTTAAGAAAATGAGCAAGACTTTGTAAGGTCTCTTCCTTGATTTCATCAAAGAATTCACAAAATCGACAGCCATCATTCTGATACAATATTATACATTAGAGTCATGTTTGAATGGTAAATGAAAGTCTTCTACAAAATATTCTAGAATTCAAATTTATATCACCTTGACCCACCTGATATTTGAAATGCATTTTGGATATGGTAGTTGTTAAAAGCCACAGTATAGTTCAAACTATGGGTTCCATCCAAAATGTCCTCTAGATCTTCAGGGTTGGTTGCCAGTCAGTGGGCATTGGGAAGTCATTGAATCCTGAGGACTGTGGCCTCATCAGTGCATTAATTCACTGATGGATTCCTAGTTCAGTATACATTGGGAGGTGATAGGCACTGAGGAAGTGGGGACCTAGTTGAAGTTGGTACATGGGAATGTGTACATGGGACTGTCCCCAGCCCCCCCCCCCCAACTCCTGTCATCAGGAGGTAACACATTCCCCTTTGCATGGTGTCCTGTTTTGCCAAGGCCGCAAACAATGAGATAAGCTAAACACAGAACAAAACTGTGAGGCAAAAGCATCCTTTCCTCTATGAAGTAGAATTTCATCACAGAGGAAAGCCAGACTAGCACTTCCTGATCCCCACTTTTATTAATGCCTGAAAGTGGGAGCTTTTAAAAATCTTACTCATCAGTAGATGACACATTAGCAGCTAAGTCATGGTGTGAGCTTTTCAGTGCAGGGAGTTTAAGATGATGGGAATCTCACAAGGTCAGCGAGAGTAAAGGCACTCTTCATTATTAACCTAGTCTGCATTGCGTGAAAGCTGTGCAGCAGTGCGGTGATTGCTAAGATATTCTCCTTAGAGGCTGAGATGGAAATGTGGTGTGTTTTATGTTATTTATGAAAAGTGAAAACACAATAATTTGTTCCTACCTTGTTTTTTGTATGTCTAAGTGGCACAGAAAAAAATAGTAAAATAAGTTAAAATAAGTTGTTATGGGCTGTTTTTTTTTTTTTTAACCTCTTTACTATTTTAGCTCTTTGGGGGGCCTGCCACCCAGCTCCCAAATAAATCACACATGGAGGCTTATTCTTAATTAATAATGCCCACCCTTAGCTTGGCTTGTTTCTTGCCAGCTTTTCTTAACTTTAAATTATCCCATCCACCTTTTGCCTCTGGGCTTTCTCCTTTTCTTACTTCTGTATATCTTACCTTCACTCTTACTCTGTGGCTGGTGGGATGGCTGGGTGGCTGGCCCCTGGCATCCTCTTCTCCTTTTTCTCTTGCTCCTTTTTTTCCATATTTCTCCTGTCTGTTCTTGCTTCCTGCCAGCCCCACCTATCCTTTTTCCTGCCTTGCTATTGGCCATTCAGCTCTTTATTAGACCATCAGTTGTTTTAGACAGGCATAGTAACACAGCTTCACAGAGTTAAACAAATGCAACATAAAAGAATGCAATACAACTTTGCACCATTAAAGCAGATATTCCACAGCATAAACAAATGTAACATATCTTAAAATAATATTCTACATCAAGAAGTTATTTTCTTTGGCTCATTTTTGTTTACATTTGTGAAGCTCTTTAGAAATGTTAGCTTTTGGACTTGAGTTACTAGAGAGAGAACATCAGAAACTAATATTGAACAGTATACACTAAACAGCAGGTGGCAAATTGTAATCTTCCTTCAGTTATAAAGTGAAAAAAATCACTGGGTGGCGGTGGCACATGCCTTTAATCCCAGCACTTGGGAGGCAGAGCCAGGCAGATCTCTGTGAGTTCAAGGCCAGCCTGGTCTACAGAGCGAGATCCAGGACAGGCACCAAAACTACACGGAGAAATCCTGTCTCAAAAAACAAAACAAAAAAGTTAAAAAAAAATCCATTTAGGTTTACATTTAATTTTAAAAAAGAACTTTTGAGTTCACGCATTAAAAACAACCTCTTTGGTCTAGAGATATGGCTCCAGACATAAGAAATTAAGAATCTAAGTTCAGATCCCAACATCTGCTACTGACTTTTATAACCTAGCACTGGTGGGCAGAGACAGGAGCCTTGCTGAGGCTTGCTGGTCAGCCAGGCTACCTGGGAACAGTGAGCTCTGGGTGTAATGAGAGACCCTATTTCGTTTTTGTTTTTTTTTTTTTTCGAGACAGGGTTTCTTTGTGTAGCTTTGCGCCTTTCCTGGAACTCACTTGGTAGACCAGGCTGGCCTCGAACTCACAGAGATCCGCCTACCTCTGCCTCCCGAGTGCTGGGATTAAAGGTGTGCGCCACCACCGCCCGGCTCA